ATGTTGACGTGCTTTGGGTCTCATCGCTTCCGGTAACAACACGGACCGGGCTCTGAGTCTCAAACTTCCAAATCAAGACGTCTAGCGTGCCGGCCATCACGTTCCGCCGTGATGCCCCCACCCCGAAACAGAACTCGATGGGAGCTGTAAAAGCGAGAACTTGCTTGGTATCCGACCGTTGTTCCCACGCAAGGGTCAGGCCTCCAATCACACGTTGCGGGGGCTTGCCTTCGTCCCATCGGCGATCCGGCAGCGGGCCCCTGTCCTTAACCCTTGTGCGGCCGAGAGACATCGCCAAGAGACAAGCTTCTTGCGAACCGTCATCACAGTTTCATCCAGTCAAATGAACTCGAACTGTCATCTCTCGACGTGACAGCCCACCCAGTCCCGCCGCTAGCCCGGGGCTCAACGGGCTTGGATGACGGATTGGGGAAGCGGAGGATGACGGCGATGCTTGGGCGCAAAAGTCAATTGTTGCCCCCCACCCAGACCAACGACATGAGCCAAGGGTGCGATCTTCCGCTACTGTTTCGTCTCAGGGGTGAGACCTCTCCACCATCGCGGTCCCGTGATCCCTGATAATGCTGCTGACGGAGCAATCAATCATGCCCGAGCGGAATTCAGTGCGAAATTTGAGTGCGAGGAGTACGTGCATGTTGGTTGAGGGCGCCAGACCTTGCTTGCCTTGTTTGCATACTGTGTACGCTCCGGTTTTCTGAGTAACTCGTGGGACGCAGAGGGTGAAGGAATATGGTATTCTGAGCGGCCAACTTATACTCTTAGGTCGGCGAAGGCCTCGCTATGAGCTATGCAGGGCCGTGTGAGCCTGCTGTTCATTGGGTAGTAACCTCGGGTCTTCACTGAGGGCCACATACCATCCAGCGTTTGTAAACGGGCTTCTCGTCGGTAACCTAGTTATTGAGCCATGTAAAGGTTCTTCCTGTCCACCGTGATTGCATATCCTCACCCCTTTCCCATAGAAAACTTGAAAGAGTAGTAAAGCTTTCGAGCTCAATCGCTATGTCTCGACTTGTCACAATCACCCGAGGTTCAAGATGGTAGGAAAGCATCTGAGAACGGACAAGCCTTGAAGCTTAGCTCGAATTTCAGCTCTGAGAATCATGTTATGGCTGTGTTCATTCCCCATCCGTGGAGTACCTGCCTCCTTTATTTATGATAGCTTGTGACCTCTACACCCATTGCAATACAGGCGAAAAAGAAGGTATGGTAGTCAGCTTCAGCCGCACCTTCTATGCCTCGCGTATAAACTGCGAATGGTTGCCACCTCGTGGACTCAACAGCTAGACCAACAATCCGCCTCTTGGTACTTTTTTGGGTGCATTGCTCTTTGCGAGACGATAGAGGACATCCCCTCTTCTGGGACATTGAATATTCATGTAAACAACTTACGTACAGCGATCCTTTCCGACAACCCGGTACACGTTTGAATAGCCTATCGTCTTTTGCAAGCCTTACGGTTCAAAATCATGACCTCGGCGACTTGTGAATCGATACAGTTGGGTTATGCGGTTAGACGTGGTCATTCAACACAGTCAGGATAGCATGCGAGATGGTGCCAGTCCCAGCTCCCAACCCAGATCTTGGCAACAGTGGCAGTTCTAACGTTTGGAAAAGAAACTATCAACTGCGTGATAGCCATAGTCGTCAGCACAGGAGAACATTAGACCTTCGTGGGGCACATATTGGGCTCGATTACAGAATACGGCACTGTATTAGCTCCCACACCATGGACTGTTGATCAGATCTACTGATATGCTAATTCGAGTTACAGTGCTAATGTAGAGGTACTGTGTCTCTTCCGTTTGTGGGCAGCGTTGCCCCAGTCCCGTGAGATTCATTGGACATGGCGGAGCAGGGCTAAAGGTGATGTCTAGTTTGGGGTGGCCATGCGGCGAGCAAGACAAGTGTGGCGAGTGAACCGAACCAGAGTGACGCTTGGATGGATGATATTGTTGGATGGTGATCGGGAGACAACAGGGTCCTGTGCTAAATAGGACTATACTTGCCGTCAGTTGCTTCAGTCTACAGCGGCTCCTTCAAAGATATAGATCTTGCGCAAAGAGTCGAATTGCCCCGGATGCGGAAAACAGGAATGAAACGGAAAGATAGAGTTATCCCGATAATGGTATTTGAGATTGTACCCAGCGCGAATGCACGTTGTTTGTTCCCCTTGCTACTAGAAGCTGTCCTAGGCTAACAGTCCTAAGAAGTTTCAGAGACGTGGTTTGAATCCTTGACTCTAGTATGAGGGGCTTCAGAAACTCCTTCTATCAAGTCGGCCCGAGGAAGGTGTTGGGATCAACTTAACATTTGCAGGTGAGTGATGCTATTTCAAAATTCCATCGGGCGTTTTGCATCCCATCACAATGTTACTCCAACCTTTTTCTGTCGTTTACATTTTCCAGAAGAAGCAGCCGCAGCGGTCTCAAAGCGCAGGCGCCCTGAGTACTCCCTTCATGCCCCGAGTTTCCTGATAGTCTCTCTTGCTCTTCCGAATCCAATGGAGAAAGGCCCACCTGATAATCCTCGATATGTGATAAGCAGCACATTGGGTTCGAAACTGCACAGGGATGGATCATGTTGTTCTTTATAATGACATACTCGCGTGGTACCTAGGAGGTATCGGGCCGATAGCCATGAGAAAATTTCGAGGGGCATGATCACCGAAGTCATTAATTGGTCACGCTTTAGCTAAAATACACCGAGCTTGGAGGAAAAGTAAATGTATAGATAAAAAAATAAGAACTCGGTAGGTAAAGAAACGGACTTAGGTAAAGGACCGAATCTAGTTTCGCTCTAATAGCTTGCGTTTCGTTCCTTTTTAAAGCCAAGATTTGGTCAATAGTATCTATGATTAGAATCTAGTTACCTTTTTTCCTGTCCTCTTTCTTTTTACGGATCGGTAGTGATAGAACCATTTCCTAGCAGTTCGAGGGCCAGCTGACTTAGGGGGGTTCATCTTTAAACATTTGATAGGATGATCGAGTTAGAGCGGGGGTAATTGAACCTTCTTTTCATGATTAGGTAGGTACTGAGTAATTCCTTTGCGTATTTGTAACTATAGTCTCTGCTATCTATTAATAGACAACACACCATGCCCAATCTTCATTGTGCACCCAGGGATAGTTTTGGGAAGACATAACCCCTATCCGGTGATTCCTCGTACAGCTGGCCTCGGAGTGCTGAGTTGAAGGAGGGAAGGGTTGTTTAGTTTGTCAATGAGTCACGTAGGTAACCCTAACGGTCTCAGCACGTTCGTTTCCCTCCAAGTGATGCTCTTGCACGAAAGCAACGTTAGAGAGTGTATACCCGGTCAATTTTCTTTCCCCTTGCCCCCTCTCGGCCCCCCACCGGCACGCGAAGATGGAGAGAATACAACTTGCTGGCTCTCTGTTAGCTAACCTACGTCCCGTACCTTTTGAGCAGCCAGGTTCTAAAGTCTCTCCGACTATTTTCGGGGACATATCTGTCGGAACTGCACCACATGCGTGCCATCGGCGTCTTAGTGCTGTACCTACCTAAGCGGCAAGGCGAAGCATTAACAGCACGGGCAAGACAATCATCAAAAGACTACCTTAGGTATCCACGGTAGCAACTACCGCCGACAGGAACTCATCTCTCATTCTGGAGTGTAATCAGGAAGGAACTGGAAATCTGGGAGTGTTCAGGCTGGTAAGGTAATCCCAGCAATGTCGGCCCTAACTGCTAAGTTTGGCATCCAAGTGCGGGAATAAAACATTAAAACACAAGTGACGTTCCGTCTGTGTTGTGCGTAGGAGCAATACTGAGCGTGCATTAGCGCTCCCACCCGACATGGTGAAAGTGTTGGATACGAGACGCCGAGAAACGGGCTGTTTGTTTGGAGAGCAAGCGCCTCGGGCAAGGGGCACTGGGCCGGAAAGAGTGAGACACAGGCACAACGTGCCTTCTTGAAATTTTCAGCTCTGCGGGCATCATGCCCCGCCATTTGGACCCCCGCGCAGCACCTCTCAGGCAGTTTCTCGCGTGGCTTTCTGGCCCGATTGGAGGGCGTTGTTCGATTTTGGACGCGAGAGACACCAAACGGCATCACACTTGTTGATCACCGCGGCCTCAGTGGAGCACCTGGACAACACAGCTGTCGGCGGATCAATCGCAGCCAAACATGCTGTCTCGCTTTCCCGGCCCGACGATGCAGGTCTGCAGGACGGACGGGATGGCGTGGCAAGGCAAATCATGGATGTTTTCCCCAGGATGAGAGAGGGATTGGGGACGCGGGTCTTTAAGCTTGCCATTGCCCACCTCCCGCCTCCCGTTCATGCGTGTACTCCCTCTCGGGTTTTGCGATCGAGATTGAGTTGAATGGTTCCAGCATCTTTGAGAGCGGGGTGGCCATTCGGTACCAATCGGGCTTCAGCTTCAAGGTTCCATGCCGTCGCGCATGACAATTCAACGTTGTATTCCAATCAGCAGACTCGACGCTGACGGCGCAATTGACCATCGACATCACCGCGGGCGTGTGACCGACCGACTCAAATACTCCCTCTCCCACAGCATCGCCTTCCTGATTTCGAGAGGTGGTTGGCGAAGACCAGAATTGGCCGAGCCGGGTTAGGATCCAAGAAGACAAAGCCCGAGAGAGGCGAGCATCTCAGTGGGGTTAAGCTGTTGGCCCAGCTTGCCCAGGTCGAAAAAGGTCGAAAAAGTAGGCTTGGCCCGCCTGATGGATTTGTTGGCAACTTTTGCTCATCCGCATCCACCCCATCGACAACTCGACTTCGATCAAAACTTGATATCGAAGCGGGGCACGACGAAACTCCTGCACCCAGGCACTGATCGGAGGATGATGGACGGATAGGATCCCGCTCGGCTTGACAACAACCCTGCGGCCGACTGCACTGTGGCGCGTCCCCCGGAATCCGTTGGGGGAAGACTTCAAGTTACCACGGGCGACATGGCGACCACGACGAGCAGTTCCCCGCCGCCGCAAAAAACTTCCTCCTGGCCTTGGAGCGGCCGGAAAAGACGGAATAGCGAGAGCTCACTGACGTCGCTGCGAGAATTCGTGACCGGGAGGAGGAACTCGCTTTCGGCGACCGATGTGACGCAACCCAACGTTCTTCGGAAGAAGGCACCGGAGCCATCGGTTCCCCAAGGACGCCCAGGTACTCTTCCAGAAGCCAAGAAGAAGGCTGATGGGAAGGCCGCAGTGGTTACTCCCGCTGTCGCCGGTCCTTCGGATGGCCCTCAAGAGAAAGAAAACAAAAAATCGCGGTCGCGGTGAGTTTCTTTTTCCATCGCCATCTTCCACATCCAATCATCTTGTCCAATGATTTCCCATTCCCCCACACTGGCTTAAGTTCACCCGTCTTCGTATCGCCATTTGTCGAGTTGGAAGATGGCTGATGGGTGGGTGGAACGTTGGCGACCTTTCCCGCTGGGAACCAAGCCCCGCCCCCTGCCAGTCCCCTGTGTTCAGGGATCTCATTGCTGCATTCGGCTCTGCAAATTCTCCAGGCGGGAGCCCCTTTTCCCCATGACAGGCCCCAAGATCAACAAGCAGATCGGGCCTGCTGGCAACGCCATGCTTGTTAACCAGCCAGTTTGCTGGGAGCGATGAGCGCGAAGAAGGGGGTCTTCAAGGAAGACAACCGTTTTCCGGGGCAAGACCCATCAGCCCTCACCCAAGACAGACAAGCCGGGGGCGAGTGCTTCATTTCCACCCTTCTCTTCGTGGCGCTATCTCCGTTCCACTCCCAGCAGTCCATCCAAAGCGGTTAGTTAGGTAGGAGGCACGTTGGGCCAACCGAACCTCCAAGCAAGCGCTCAGGCGCCACGGTGCATCGCGTTCCTGCATTGTGCGTGTAATATTTCCCTTTTGAGACGCAGAACATGCAGAAAACGGCTTGACTAAAGCCTCCCAAGACTGCAGGGCTGCACCCCCAGCAGCCGAGTCAAACGCCGGGTCTGGCAGAGAAGAGCAACCAGCGCGATCTTCTTGCAACGTTCATTACAATGTGTCTGCCGCCGCGACTTGCGGCTGAGATCTGCATGTCATTTTAAAAAGCCCGACTCGGCCCACCGCCCCGTCGCCCCATCGCTACGAGAGCTTGGCTTTCTCCTTTTTCTTTTTATTGTTGAAGAAAGACAAAGAGGAGGAAACACGCTCGTTAATACTAACCTGGAGGGTGGAATATCCGTCTTTGAACAGTCCTCCACCAGCCTTCTTCAACAAGGTCAAACACCGGCATACCTTCTCCGCGTCTGCAGTCCTTCGGTGGTACACTATTAATAACGACGATGACGAGCTGCTAAAACCGCCCCCAGCCCGTCCTCGAAATCCTTCATCTGCCGGCCGGTCCCCAGGTTTCAAACCGACTGCTGCGCCTCCCACCCTCCGCCCACCACGGTCCCGCTTCGACGGCCCACTGGCCGCCATGTACCCCACGGAGGAACAGGAATTTGTGCTCCGGTCGCCGCGGGCGAGCGGCACTCGGATGGGTTCCCACCCGGGGCCCAGCAGCAGCAGCAGCGGATCCGAGATGGGGCACGCGCCGATGATCCACATGCCGACGGCCCACCCGGGAGACGGCCCGCTACCCGGGGCCCCCGGCAGCGGCGGCGGATACAACACACCGCGGCGGCTGTCCAACGGCAGCACCAGCTCCGTGGCCAGCAGCGCCGTGTCGGGCCGTGACAGCTTCGACGGCCGCGTCCGTGCCGCGTCCATGGCCAGCAGCCAGACCAGCTTCGACGACTTCGTCCCCCGGGGCTCGTTATCCGGCGGCCCCGTGACGTGGCAGACGCAGAACGGCGGGCCCGGCGCCGGCCAGAACTACCCCTGGCAGCGGCCGGCCCCCATCAAGCAGCGGCGCAAGGCCCAGCCGGGTGAGCTGTTCGCCGCGCTGCCGGGCGAGGTGCTGGAGCTGATCCTGGCGGCGTTGCGCAGGCTGCACTTGGAGCCCGGCAGCACCAGCTGTGCGACGTGCTGGATGCGCGATTGTTGCGCGGTGGCCGTCAGCGCCCGCAAGTTTGTCAAGTACGCCCGTGAGGCGCTGTATCAGCATGTGCAGCTGGTTGGGCACGAGGGGCCGGCGATGAAGAAGCGGACTAAGACGACGTATGGTTCGAGGTTGGTGTTGCTGCGTCGGACATTGAGGGCGAATGCGCATATTGCCGTAATTGTGCGGTCGTTGAAGCCGCCGGCAAGGCCGCTTTCGGTTGGGGCCGTCGCGTATAATGATCTGGTGGCGTCGGTGGTGATGGCGTGTCCGAACTTCGAGCGGTTGGTGGGCTATTATCCGACATATGACCACTCCTTTCAGAGGTTATTTCAGGCGTTGTCGACCCGGACGAGATTGAAGGATATGAACTGGATCCTGGAACCCTCGGTGCAGCAACGGCAACAGAGGACGCGGTCGCCTGCGCACAACGATCGGTGGGGTCCAGGGGAGCTACAGCCACAGGAGTCGCAGCTGTTTATGGCATTTCATGCAAATTGGAGGCAACTAACCACACTTGTTGTTCACTGCCAGCCAGGGGCAGCATTGAGCCCGGCCAACCTGCTGGAATGTACGATTCGGTCACTGCCCTCGGAATTCCACCTATACCTCTCGCACCTACCACAAGCCACATTCAACGACACCCACCTCCTCGCCCTCCCTCCTCTCAAAACGCTATCCCTAAGCTACTGCACTGGTGTCACAACAGCAGGCCTCTCCTCGCTCGCAACACGCCGAACGAGCGCCTCGATCCAAACCCTCACCCTCCTCCATATGAACGTTGAGTTGCTCCCGGCCATCGCCCGCATCTTCTCGTACCTCACCGCCCTCC